TACACTTTTCCATTTCCTGACAGTACAGTATAGGTGGTAGAGAAGAACTAACGCAGCATCATGCCCAAAATTACTTACCAACATACACGGAAAAAGCTGCCAGATCGAGGCTCTACATACCTATGGCGGTAGCGTACAAAGAGCGAATGGGTAGCAGGTCTTGTTTTTGTTATTGTTCTTGTTCTTTTTAATGGTTACTAGTTAGAGTGAGTTGTTGAAGAAAAGGTTTGGTTTTTAATCAAATGTAACTAGCAAGAGCGTCACGACCAACTATCAGCCTTGTCTCCAGGAAATAAATAGCATGAGCCACAACGTCGTTTTAACTTTTCCTGCTCTAATTGTGATCTTCCTAATAATTATGTAATAGAATTGATATTGTTCCCCCACTTTTGGAAATCCTAACTCCCCCAGAATTAGGTCATACAATTTGCTTGGCAGTGCGTGTGGACAGTTGGTAGCAGAATTTGCAACCAGCCACAAGAGTCCTTCAGAAGGAGCTGATAACTTCCCTAGCAGTGACCTTCCACTTCACTTGGCTACTGGACTGAACACAGACTGTTCTGTTGTCTCTCTGTGATTTCTCCTTCCATGGAACCTGCCATACTTACAAATTCGTCCCTGTCCTGCTCTAGGCAAAAACATTACCAGTGTAAGCCTCTTGAACCACACAAGCATACGTTGTTGGACAGTGGTTGGCCTGGACCAGAGCCACATGAATTCCGTTCCAAAACCTGATTCAGTCGAGGGGAAGGAAAGACTGTGCACGTGAACCCTGAACATCAGATAGCCCATCACATCTTCGCCATCCATTCAAGCTCTTTTACTGCAAGCCTTTCTACTGCAAAATCTACAGCTACTTGCCAGGTCAAGACTAGCCAAGCCAAGTCGTCCCTAACTTCAGTAATAGATCGTCTTCAAGCTAGGCCCTTCATTTATTTTCATTGCCGATTCATAATGTGTTCTGTCAAATAGAATCCCTATTTTTCTCATTATTAAAAAG